CTAGTAAACCTAAAATGAGGAACTATGAGTGAACGGGAAGACGGGAAGCAGAACTACATAAACAGAGCTAAAGAATTGAGAAAGATGATCAAAGGAGGATAATGTATACACAAGGAAGGAAATGGCGAAAAATTTCTGAAAAAATGAAACCTTCACCTATTTATAGGGCTAGATGGCGCGAGAATCGAAGAAGAAGACTGCCAATGGCGCTAAAACTAAAGCGACAAGCATTCAGACGCTGTCTCGAGAAGATGCATAATGATAACGCGTGTGAGAGTGACGTCACATCTTAATAACCACATCAATCAGGGTTCCGCATGACGTGTCGCTCTCTCGATCTTGGTCAACCCTGCGTAATTTAAAAGCCAAATTCTCCCACAATAGAAACGAATGATGTTCGCTTATCAAGGACGTGCAGGGCTACGACCTCAACAAGTGGAGGGACTAACTATATAGGTCCAAATTTGGTAACCACGGTAACGGATAAGCAAGACATAGTATGGGGTCGACCACGACACAACAACTGACGGTTGTTGTGATAAAGTCCGACGACCAGAAGCGGGCAGCTGAGATAAAGATAATACGGTAGCTTAAACTTAAAAAGAGATAGGAAGAATATTTCTTTGGATATTCTTTATGTCGTACTTTTTAGGGTTTTTTGGGGGGATGTTCCTTATAAATAGGAGGAGATAGTGAACAATGGGGGAATCTGCCTTTTTGAGAACTGAGAAACACATTGCAAAGTTAAGAGAAGAATATACGAAAGAGTTGTCTTATTCACTTTATTCAAGCATATGTTATTCAACCTTCATCGATAAATCTCAAAGATTCCACATTCATATCAATTGCATACCTATTCACGTCGTTAGAGAGAAGAGGCACCCAATCACACAATCATTGGGTGACAGTTCCTTTACACTATAACCATTGTCGTTTCTTGCATTTATTGCACATTTATGATATTACATATTTTTTCAATCTTAGTATACTGAACTCACTAATTAATATTGTTAAACTCTTCTTACTATACAAGAGTTTTGTTATATTTGATCTAGGATTTATTAAGCTTAACTGAGATTCACCTTATTAACCTGTTACTAATTAGTTAGCATTTATTTGCTCAAACGGTAAGCAGAGGCAGAGCCAGGATTTGAAGCTTATGGGTTCGAGATTCTAATCATTTTTAAATTAATAGGTTCTAAATTAATAACTTATAATGAATTTCATTAAACAAATATAGGGTTTAAACCAAAGCTACTGGGTTCGTTCGAACCCGTAACTCTCTCTCGAGCTCCGCCCCTGGCTATAAGACTTTTGAAACTTATGATCTTAAACCAATCATAACATTTGGGTGGCTATAAAGCTTTTCATTAATGACAAAATGGAAAGCTGAAGTTAAATTGTCTTTAAACTAAGATAAGTGAATAAGTTCGCATAAACCGGAATGGATAAAGTTTTTTTTTGTACCTTGAGTAAGATGGCATTAGCATGGGAATGTTATCGAACATATCTCCTCCAACAAACTCCAAATTTACACTTCCCTTGCAATCTTATACAACATGAGGTAGATCAAGTATAGTGCATTTTATGTTAGGAAAAACTTTAGCTATAGCAATTGACACAGTACTAGTGCCACCACCAACATTCATCAATGACCTCAACCCCTCAAACACATGTTTACATTCCGTAATAAGCACATTGGTATTCAACCTCGAGTCACTAGCCAATGCATCATTGAAAATATCACCTGATACCCTTGGTTCTTGATCCACAACATAATCCCATAAAGATTTCCCATTAGCAGTATGAAAAAGCAGTAGGAGAATCATTTTGGAACCAAGTGGTGAGGTTTTAAGCTAAAATAGGCTTAAAAGAGGCTGAATGGGAAATAGAGGGAAAATGAAATATTTGAGATATTTGAGATTTCCTCCTTGACAATGGGACATTGTCCCATATTGGAAGAGGAAAAGGTTTTTGATGGGTATATATACAATTGCTCTTCTTGTAGCTCTTAAAAAGTTAAGAAGAAGGCAAGCCTCGCACCATCGTCATCGCTCGGCTTCATATTTCGGATTTGGGATTTCGGATTTTGGATTTGGTCAAATGATTGATTGATTAATGTTTTGGACCAAATTTATTTGTTAATAGTAAATATTAACGTAATTAATAATCTAAATTATCCGTTTCATTGGATGCCCGCTTTTTGTAACGGAAAAACGTTTCCTTTGGATTTGGATTTGGATTGGGATTTGGTCAAATGATCGATTGATTGATTAATTTTTTGGACCAAATTTATTTGTTAATAGTAAATATTAACGTAATCTGTGTCTGTAACGGAAGATTAATAATCCAAATTATCTATTTTATTGATTGTTCGTTTTTTGTAACGGAAAAACATTTCCGCTGCCCGTTTTAATTTGTGTAAATGGCCATTTATGTTATGGCCATTTTACATAACTGACCTCTGAAGAGTTACAACTCTTCATTTGAACTCAACATGTTGGGGCTATAAATTGCAGTCCATTCTCTCAGATTTTCCATACGAATTTCTGAATTCTCCTTCTTTCTTCTACATTGTTTTAACTACAAAGAAAGCATCAGTAAGTGTGATTTGCAACCGATCTTTGTGTTCGCTGAAACACTGGAGTTTGAAGTACCGCCACACGAGTGTGTAATTCGTTCTATCCTTGGAGGAAATAATCTTCAACCTTGGGTACTAGGAGAGGATTAAATTCCTTAAGGAAACACTGTGAATTCAGTGGCTCGCATTAAATTCTGTTTCGTTTACATTTCTATTTATATGTTATTTTATCATCTCCAGAATTATTTTACAAAAATATTTTATTAACAAGCTTAAGGAATTTAATTTATTTTCTGTATTTGTGTTATACTCACTATTTTTGGAGAGTAAAACCTTTGTGGTCTTATAATCCATTAGAGATTAAAATCTATGTGATTTTAACGTTTGTTTGTGTCATTCTTTTACAAAAATGACGAATAACAACGGGAACCAGAATGTTCCTATGGTGACTGCCAATGCATCGACAAGCCGAACAATACCAGCAGAAAAATCCGAAAAAAATTTCAGGATTGATTTCAAGCGGTGGCAGCAGAAGATGTTCTTATACTTGACTACTTTAAGTCTACAAAAGTTCATTAAGGAATATGTTCCAGTTCTGCCCGAAGAAACTTCAGAGAATGAATGCTTTCTCGTGATTGAGGCGTGGAAGCATTCTGATTTTCTGTGCAAGAATTATATTCTTAGCGGACTGGAGAACGATCTGTATAATGTCTATAGTAATGTGGAGACATCAAAAGAACTATGAATTGCGCTTGAAAGGAAATATAAAATTGAAGATGCCGAGTTAAAGAAATTCGTTGCCGCTAAATTTTTGGACTACAAAATGGTAGATAGCAAGTATGTTATTACCCAAGTCCAAGAATTGCAAGTGATTATTCACGATCTCCTTGTTGAAGGTATAAGTAGAATTAATACTGATGTTGAAAGTATTAATTTTATTATGTTTACTAACAGAATTTTCATTGAAGGTCTTGTCATCAATAAAGCATTTCAAGTTGCAGCGATGATTGAGAAGTTGCCTCCTTTGTGGAAGGACTTCAAAAATTACTTGAAACACAAACGTAAGGAGATGTCGCTTGAAGATCTCATTGTTCGGTTGAGAATCGAAGAGGACAACAAAACAACTGAATAGAGAGGCCGTGGAAACTCAGAAATAATGGGAGGAAACATTGTTGAGGATACTCCTCAAAATAAGAGAAAGAGGAAGCAGGCTTCTGGACTGAAAAGCAACCCAAGCAAGAAGCGGTTCAGTGGAAATTGCTACAATTATGGGAAAGCTAGACACAAATCCACAGATTGTCGTGCTTTGAAGAAAGACAAGAAGAAGGGTCAAGCAAACATGGTTGAAAAACACGAAGATGTTGATGACTTGTGTGCTATGCTTTCTGAATGCAACCTGGTGGAAAATCCTAAGGAGTGATAGATTGATTCTGGAGTCACTCGCCATGTTTGTGCCATTAGAAAAGCATTTGCTACATATGCTCCTGTTGGACCCGAAGAGACGTTTTCTATGGGAAATTCTGCAACGGCCAAAATTGAAGGATGTGGGAAGATAATTCTGAAAATGACTTCTAGCAAGGTGGTGATTCTGAACAACGTTCTTCATGTTCCTGATATTAGAAAGAACTTAGTTTCTGCTGGACTTCTTGTTAAGAATGGGTTTAAATGTGTCTTTGTATCTGATAAGGTTTTAATAAGTAAGAATGAGCTGTTTGTAGGAAAAGGTTACATCACTAAGGGCCTTTTCAAGCTGAATGTAATGGTTGCTGAGAATAATAATATAATTTCAGCTTCTTCTTACTTACTTGAGTCAAATAATTTATGGCATATACGTTTGCGTCATGTCAATTATAAAACCTTGCAGAAAATGATTAACTTGAAAGTATTGCCTAAGTTTGAATGCGAAAAATCAAAATGTCAAATATATGTGGAATCTAAGTATGTTAAACATTCTTATAAGTCAGTTGAAAGGAATTCAAATCCTTTAGACTTAATTCACACATATATTTGCGACACGAAGTCAATACCATCTCGCGATGGAAAGAAGTAACTTTTATTGACGACGGTACTCGATATTGCTATGTTTACTTACTGAATAGTAAAGATGAAGCAATAGACGCATTCAGGCAATACAAAAATGAAGTTGAAACGCAACTTAACAAGAAAATCAAAATGATAAGAAGTGATCGGGGTGGTGAATATGAATCTCCTTTTGAATAAATATGTTTAGAATATGCAATTATTCATCAAACAATGGCCCCTTACATGCCGCAATCCAATGGGATTTGTCACGCCCCAACCTTGGGAGGCGTGGCTGGCACCCGGTGCCAGATTGGCCCGAGCGAATCACTCTGTAACTCATTCATTCCTTTTGTAACTATTATGGTCCAACATGGCCACAACTCGTAATGTACAATTGTGAGTTGGCAAATGTTATATTAATGAACCATCATTCTTAAAACATGAAAACATATGGGCCGTCAAGGCCTCTGACATACTGCACAAAATGAACCTCCGCCTACAAAGCCTCTAAGATTATTTGACATCAAATGGGATAGGGTACCGTCCTACCCATAAGTGTGTAGAAAACTTTTGACACGATGACTCATAGACTCGGCTGCACTCCGAATGAGGTGGAGTCTTATCGATCCTTTGCTGAATGCCAATTTCTTCTATTATGAGGGCTCGTTAAACTAATTGTTTATGCCTGCAGGTATGAACGCAGCGTCCCCAACAAATGGATGTCAGTACGAATAATATACCGAGTATGTAAGGCATGTAAATCAGTATATAAGGGACATGGAAGAAACATGGAATAAATGATTCAACCTGTAAGTATGGATAGCTCTGTAAATCAAAATCATGAAATATCTATAATGTCATGCATATGCATATAAATGTCATGTAATGCATAGGTCTGTACGTACATAACATTATTAAGCCTCTAAGGGTATCCCATCATATCATCTCAGTCACTGTGGGTAAATCATCAACATATACCAGCTGATCAAGTGGTGGTGCGTATATAACGCCATAACCTTTTCCCATATATATACGCGTATATAACGCCGTCTAAGTTATATTTCAGCCATTGTGGGCAACATCATCATCATATACCAGCTGATCAGGTGATGGTGCGTATATAACGCCATAACCTTTCCCAAATCTCATATACATATATATACATATATATATATATATATATATATATATATATATATATATATATACGCGTATATAACGCCATATGGTCATGGGTCAACGTACATGAATGCAATGCATGAAAAGTACGTTAATAAAATCTTACAGAATGTAATAAGACCATTTTGCCTTTGAGTAATATCAAAAAGTAAACTCTTTTCAGTTTTCGTATTATTATTTTTTTTGTCTGAGGCCCATGAACAGATGATAGAATATTATGACATATGGAAATTCAAGAACATAGATATCTCTAATACTTCTATGAATAGAGTCATTTATGGAATTTGTACACTTGCTCGTTTCGTTTGTGTCGTATAGATCATGCCAAAAGAAAGAAGTGATAGTCTTAACATACCTGGAACAAGGAAAAATCCATATGAGAGTTCACGTCAGATTGCAGTGTCTTGTAGTTAATGTGCGAAAGCTCATGTTTGTAGCATGTAGGTGCGAGGCCATGATGATCCAAGGAATTCAAAAGGAACAATACAAACCGAAAAGTTCATGGAAGGAAATTGTCCAAAACGAGATACTAAATTTTTCCGAATCCATATAGACTTAGTGAAACCCAGAACATAATAGAAGTAAAAAAATTCCTTTGGGGAATACCAATTGGATGGATCTAATGCTTAGTCATGTTCAAAGAGGGCACAACTAGCTTTATGAATTCTTCATAGTCTTCTCTTTCAAAACTAGAGACTAGAGATAGCAGTTAAAGGGCTTGACATGTGACTAAAATGAAATCGGTTCTTCTAAGAAAGGAAACTTCTATCTTTCCGGCTTTATTTGAAAATGTGTTCTATATCCACTGCTATTATTATTATTATGTAAGACCGAATCCTTGTCTCACCACTGTCCTTTTCTACTTAGTTTAATTGGAAAGCAAATGAAGTACATGTAATCATATTCTTAAAGCATAATTTTCTTTCTAATAATAATTGTGGAAGTGACATTGTTATCACTTCATACAAGTTAATCAACATCCCAAGATTTCCTTTAATGTGACGATTAGCCTAAAGATCTGTCTTAGGTTGTCAAACTCAAGTAATAAAGCAGTTTTTAATAAAAGAATAAAGCATAAAATGGTTTACCGTAAGAAATTGAGGAGCAACATACATGTGAGATACTATTATCTAGCAAGTGAAGAAGCCTATTTTACAAAATAATGAAAATGGACCATACGCATGCAACGGAGAAGCTGGAATCGTTGGTCCGCCTATCTCCTTTCCTTTATTATCCCACATGAGGACTGACTTTTTCTGCCGAAAATCAAATATTGAGAAAGATAACAGCTTAATATCCTACTATCTTCTCCAAGACTCATTTATTCTTGCCACCTATTTAACTAGTCATCTAGTTAATCCTGTATGGATGCCACGTGGGGGTGGGGTGGGAAAAGTTAATCTTTATCTACTTATTAGGTAATTAGGTAGTGTCTCGTTACCCGGTAATTAATCATTACCCGCATAATTAAGAATTATCTCAATTTACTTAAAATACTACTCACTTTTAATACACTTTATACCCTACTATCATGGTCATATAGTACCCTATAAAATTAATACATACACTATTATTTTATTAAAATATCCATGTAAAAATACATATATTTTCTTAACTTCTAATTTTTCTAATCTCATATAAAGAGTACAAATTTTTCGTACGCTCAATTTTTAAAATGTTAAGAAGATAACCTTCTCTTCATGTGAGAAAATAATTTCCTCATATTATGTGTATAATTTTAAACATATTCGAAAGTAGTAATATTAATAACTATATAAAATCATATTTTTCAAACCATTTTATTTATTTATTTTTACTGTTAAACTTACGGGGTGTAACATCCTTTCCCCCTTTAGAACATTCGTCCTCGAATGTTAACTCTTAGAGGTTTACAAAATTTTTAGTAGGGTCTCCTCTATAAACTAAACTAAACCTAAAGTATATTTGTAGTCTCGACTATTCACAACCTTTTGTACTTAAGTATCTCGTATCTTCTTCACCACCTTACTTACCTTTCAATCTTGCATCGTATCTTCTGTTTCTTTCATAATCTCCCTTCAACATTATGCCTTAAAGCTCTACTGTGATACCTGCACCTCTGGTGTATACAAAATCTCGCAACAATCTTCATACTGGCTTCTTACGACTCACCTCTATGGCACGATCTGGAAACAAAAGAAAGGTAATATTTCCTAAATGCCCTATAGCCTCTCAATTATAAATGTGGCGCGCAACACACCCATAAGTGAGACTCTAGTAGGCACGGCTTTGTAGACTCCCTAGGACACGATCTGCTCTGATACCACTTTGTCACTCCTCCCAAGGTTTGGGCGTGATAGTATCTATGGGATGACACGTTTAGGAATCACCTATGTAGGTGTGAAGTGTTAGCTGCTTCAAGGAGAATTTCGTAAGGCCAGTTCTCTACGCACTTATGAAACAAGGCGGTGTTCATGGCTGAAACGAACACAACAATGAGAACCAGAGACGGTTAGGGGTTACTTGTGTGACTTATGGTTGTCTAGGTATACATCAAAGTTCGCGGTTCAAAGATATCAAATCTACCGATTGACCGAGTATATCCGGCATAAGTTCACTACGGAAAGTTCAAAGGGAAACCTACTTATCCAGATGCGATTAATCCTTGCTTGTGAATCACATAGTTTTTCATGCATATTTCCGTGATATAGTCATTCCCCATTCATGTGGGGGATTGTTGAGGTTTTAAGCTAAAATAGGCTTAAAAGAGGGTGAATGGAAAATGGAAGAAAAATGAGATATTGTAGATTCTCTCCTTGACAATGGGATATTGTCCCATATTGGAAAAGGAAAAGATTTTTGATGGGTATATATACAATTGCTCTTCTTGTAGCTCTTAAAGAGTTAAGAAGAAGGCAAGCCTCGCGCCGTCGTCGTCGTCGCTCGCTCGGCTCTGCTTCGGTTTCAGCTTCGGCTTGGCCATTTACATTATGGCCGTTTTACGTAACTGACCTCTGAAGAGTTACAACTCTTCATTTGAACTCAACAGGTTGGGGCTATAAATTGTAGTCCATTCTCTCATATTTTCCATACGAAGTTTTGAGTTCTCCGCCTTTCTTCTACATTGTTTTAACTACAAAGAAAACATCGGTAAGTGTGATTTACTACGATCTTTGTGTTCGCTGAAACACTGAGGTTTGAAGTACCGCTACACCAATGAGTAATTCGTTCTATCTTGGGAGGAAATAATCCACAACCTTGGGTACTAGGAGGGGATTAAATTCCTTAAGGAAACGCTGTGAATTCAGCGGGCTCGGATTAAATTCTGTTTCGTTTACATTTATGTTTATATGTTATTTTATCATCTCCAGAATTATTTTACAAATACAGTTTATTAACACCAAGCACTTAACTCAAACCATGCTTTTGAAAAGACTGGATCATGGTTGATAACCAAGAGTGATCTAACATTAAAGGGCTCATTTTCCACAAGAAGGCGACTAGCTGGGGTAAGAGAATAGTGGTGATCTTGATCATGTTGATTTAGGAAACCAGAATGCACTAAAAATCGCATTGAAATTGGCAAGAAACAAACCTTTGAAGGGTTGATTACTAGGGAAAGTTCAGCCGAGAGATCGGAAAGAGACATTGGCTTACCATATTTATAGAGGACATCAGGAATTACTAGTTGAAGTGCACATCTTACTGCTGAAGAACTTATGAAAATATGGTTCCAGATTTGAGCTTGCGCATGGAGAAGCTCAGTGCTACTCTCACAGTTTCACTCGCTGACATTTCTAAGGGACTTGTTTTGGTTATACTTGCATATTTATAGAGCTAATGAGAACTAATATACACTGATAATATAACTAATTTTTAATCTTGTCACATGGTGGGGACTAGTTATGTTGTCTCACAAATACTATATCAATACTGAGGCGGAGCCAAGATTTCAAGTTTATGGGTTCGGGATTCTAATCGTTTTAAGTTAGTGGGTTCTAAACTAATAATTTATACATATTCAATGAATTTTTTAAGACAAATACAGGATTCGAACCAAAGCTACTGGGTTGGGCCGAACCCGATGGCGACACTCTAGCTCCACCCCTGATTAAGAAAGTTATCACCAATGCAAAATTTTATAAAAGTTAAAGTTCTTTCCACCATTGCAGTGACCAAAAAAAACATCAAATTTAAACAAATAAACAAGTTTCCATATCTCGTGAATATTTGTTTTCAATGTTCACTACATAATCAATACTAGATGCGTAGAAAAGCTTTTCTGTTTTCCTTTTTACTTTTTGCTAATAGAAGGTTATCAGATGATGCAATGTTCCCTCACTGGCTTAATGGTCACATCCTTTCCGGCCTAAACAAATATTGCTATAAAAAAAAAAATTATTTTGAAAAAACTAGTTTGTCGTCAACCATTACAAATTGAACATCTCACTTTAATTTGATTTTGCACAATAAAATAAATAAAAATAAAATAGTTGAAGATTTAAATCACTTAGTATTTTTGTCAATGAAACTTTTGAAGACATATATAAATATTATAAAAAATTTATAAGAAATGAAAAAGAACAAAATCTATGGTTGACCCTCCAATTAATACACAAATTATATTCACGTGGCAAAACTGAGAAAATATTAAGAGATGGGTCTAAAATTTTAGGGGAAACAGAAAAATACAAATATAAAATGCGAAATGAAAAATTCAACCTTTGGAATCAAACAATTTAAAATCAAGTAACATTTAATTAAAAAATCAAAAGATAAAAGAAAGCAAACAAATAAAAGAAGAAAATAAGATAAAATAGCAGGGATGAACCTTGAAAAAAAATATGACTAGTTGGTACTTTTGATTTTAAACAATGACAAAAACTTTTTAAAACCTTAACTCTTTCCCACACTTTTCTTTTGATTTTGATTGGGGAATAACTCTCTCAAAGAAGTAAAGGACAGCTGGGCTGTTTTGGAGCTTTTGTCTTTTCCTTTTTTGTCTTAGTAGTAATAAGTTTGTGGATTTTTTCCAAAAAATGAAAAGGAAAACGTTGTTAAAAAGGAAAAAAATTTAACTGCTTCTGGGCAGAATCCAACCCGCGTGTTCCGCTGTAAATGCGGACTCCGAACCCTGGACAATTACCACTGAACCCAGAGCTATTTTGTTACTAGGTTTGCCGTTGTATATTTATATATTTTCAATAAAATTTTCAATGTAAATACAGGGTCCGAGTAAAAGTCACTGGGTTCGCCCCCCCTGACTGAAGTGTACGGGAATATTGAACGTGGGTAAGTTCTCGAATGTATTAAACCAAGATGAAAATAAAAGAAGCATTTGTTTTTCAATTTGCTATGTTCTTTTTTATCTTTTTAAGTTCGGCCTCCACAATCTGAACCCCTCCAGTTATTTCTCTTGAATCCTCATTTCCATTGTTGTAATTTTCTATATTTCCATTACAATGATTATATTTTATTATTTATGCAATAACGATAGGGTTCTAACTCAACTTTATATCCATTACGTAGCAGGAAAAGAAAACAATAGAGATTCCTGTATTTTGCAGGCGTCTGAATCTGTCAAAGTCACGGATTGCTCCATTGGTGCAATTTTTCCTAATTCAACTGGTGTTTTGGAGAGAGTAGGGGTGTTCATGGTTCGGTTTGGATTAGTTTTTCCCTAAAAAGAAACCAAACCAAGTAAGTCGGTTTTTCAAATATTAAAACCAAACCAATTAAGTCGATTTTTTCTCGATTCGGTTTATATCGATTTTTCGGTTTTTTCGGTTATTTTTCGATTTTTTTCTTAAATATAAGACATACACTACCAAACACATATTTTGGCGACCACATTTTTAACATAACACTATCAAATCAATTGTCCTTTGAGAAATCTATTATTTACCAAGATATATTGATGATAATTGATCAAATAGTGATGAACAATTTAAGGACTCGATTAAAAATATATTATTTTTAACATGAAATAGATTCTTACACTTAACAAAAGAAAACTACCAATTAAACTAGAATGTAAAGGTAAAGAATTGTACTAAAAGTGCAAACGATTAACATTTACTATAAAAATTTTGAAACTTTGTATAAAAGTATACATATATATATATATATAGGTGTAATTCTAAATTTAAAATAGTTACTTCTATATTCGATTTGGTTCGGTTTTTTTTTTATTAAAACCAAAACCAAACCAAATTTGATCGGTTTTTAAATTTCAAAACTAAAACCAAACCAAACCAAAAAGTATCGGTTTTTTTGGTTGGTTTTC